TCTTTCAGGAGGCAGGAAGTGGAGCGAGGGTCCATGGCCGAGTGCATTATAGGGATATAAACATCATCCATGTTTGGCATGACAAAAACTTTCTGTAGAGAGATATTAAAGAACAGCCACATGTCAGACAACTGCCCTCCTTTCATATATGAAATTTTCCTATACATCCAAACAAGTTCTACCATGCTGTCAGCATATGTGTACGTCTTCAATTTCATCCCACCTTATTTTGTGAGACAAAAGTCTTTCACTGAACTCAGAGCTAATCAATGTGACAAGACTTGCTGGCCGGCAAGTCCCAGCACTGGGATTTTTTTTTTTTTAAGATTTATTTATTTATTTATTTATTTATTATGCATACAATGGTCTGCCTGCATGTATGTCTGCAGGCCAGAAGAGGGTATCAGATCTCATTACAGATGGTTGTGAGCCACCAAGTGGTTGCTGGGTATTGAACTCAGGACCTCCGAAAGAGCAGTCAGTGCTCTTAACCTCTGAGCCATCTCTCCAGCCCCAGCACTGGGATTTTATGTGGATGCTGGAGTTTTTAATTCAGAGCCTCAGGCTTGTGTAGCAAGAATTTTACTAAATGGCCTGCTCCTCCATACTTGAACTCAGAAAGAGCCAAGAGCTACACCAGAGCACGAATACAGGAAGAACCTAGTGTGTCTGCTTTGAGGCAAGGGTCCTCAGTTTCAAGTGCATACATTAACTATGTAAGAAATATTTAACAATGTTAATGCAGTATTTCAAAATCATTATGTCCAGGACATATTCCAAGTGAATTCATCCTTTTAAATCCTAACACAAATGTAGGCTGGGTTTTCCACATCGAAACCATGTAGAGCTACATATGAAAAAAAAAAAATCCTAATATGGTGACTGCCCCAAGGATGATCAGTGGTACACAGTGATTGTTCTTTGTACACTGTTTATAACTGTGTGTGGATTCTGATGATGCATTTGATCTTCAGCAATACCCTTCCTTAGAGAAACAAGAAAGCACACGGCAGGCACCACAGCAGGGCCAGCCGTCAGCCTCAGTTTCCCAACCTGTCTCCAGTACCAATCTCTGTCCTCCCCTCCTTCCTTTGGTCTGTGTACACCAAGACCCCCCCGAAAAGTGATCCACTCAAATGATAATAAGACCCAGGGATGTAAGAAAAGTGGAAAACCCGAAGGCATTAAGTTTTCCCCCTCACTAGGTTTAAAGCATTTTTCCATCTGGTGAAAATAGTAGGCTTTTATCAGAAACTATTTATTAGTAGCTTTTAAACAGTAATAGTTGTTTTGTTTTGTTTGTTTGCTTGTTTGTTGAGACAGGGTTTCTCTGTGTAACAGCTCTGGCTGTCCTGGAACTCACTTTGTAGACCAGGCTGGCCTTGAACTCACAGAGCTCTGCCTGCCTCTGCCTCCCCAGTGTTGGGATCAAAGGAATGCCCCAACCCCGACCGGCTGACAACAGTAATCGTTTTTAAAAAGACAAAAGGACCGGTAGGATGGTTAAGCAGGTGCAGGGGCTTGCTGTCCAAGTCTGGTGACCTGAGTTGAGCCACTGAGCTCTCGTGGTGGAAAGCGAGACCTGACTGCAGGTTGTCTTCTGCCCTTCACACAAAACTCCAAGGAATCGGGGAGACATCTCATTTGGTGAAGGGCTGTCCTTGCAAGCATGGGGACTGGGATCCGGTCACCAGAACCCATGCAGAAGTTGGGCAACCCAGCACTGGGGAGACAGACAGATCCCTGGGGCTCCTTGGCCAGCTGGTCTAGACTACCTGCTGTCCAGTTCCAGGCCAGAGAGAGACTGTTTCAAAATACAAGGTGGGTAGTACCTGAGGAATAACAGCTAAGGTTGACCTCTGGCTTCCACAGGCACAAACATCCACCTGCACGTACGTGCGCATGCACACACACATCCCCCCTTAAAATATACCAATGAAAAATAATGAAGTATTCTTCAAGGGAGAAATCATGACTAAGTAAATAAACCATTTGCTAACCCATAAACTTTGCTTTTCTTAAATATTTGAGATGGTCTCTTGAGGCTGTCCTGGAACTTACTCTGTAGACCAATCTAGCCTTGAACTCACAGAGATCTACCAGTGCTGGGATTAAAGGCATTTGTCACCATGCCTGGTTTCTATAAAACTTTAGGACATGGGGGCTGGAGAGATGGCTTAGAGGTTGAGAGCACTGACTGCTCTTCCAGAGGTCCTGAGTTCAATTCCCAGCACCCACATGGTGGCTCACAACCATCTGTAATGAGATCTGGCACCCTCTTCTATATACATAATAAATAAATCTTAAAAAAAAAAAAAACTTTAGGACAGTCAATGCTTCAGATATTTGATCAAGTGGCTGGGGTAGGGTCGGGTGGACCAGTGGTCAAATGCTTGCTTAGCATATGAATGGCCCTAGGTTTGAACCCCAGCACCACAACCAAGTAAAACAAAGCAAAAATCTAATCACAATTTGATAGAAATAGCCCATTCCCAGGGCCTCTGCTATGCTGCTACTACCTTGGGGGCAGAAAGCAGGAGGCAGATTTGGAGGGTGAGCTCTGGCTTAGGAGTTACTTAGGGGAGGCCTGATTGATTTTGGACGTCCAAGACAGTTGTCTCTGGCACACACGTTTCCTTGAAAGTTAACTGAACAAAGTAAGGCAAATACAACAGAGGCAGGGAACATCTTTCCTGCCCCCCAGCTGGGTATCACTGGCCAGCCTGCTCCTGACTTCACATGCGGCAAAGTCGAATCCTGGAGAGTCTCTGCAGACTCACTGGTACAGGACACCATCATCTTGCCTCTGGCCACAGCTATGTTTCTTCTGAGTCTAGTTTGTGGGAAAGCTTCAGGGCCTTTGAAACCATAATTAAAACTACACGCCCAAGTCTGAAGACAGGTGTTTTCAACCTAAGGATGATGGTCGTGGCTTCCATCCAGTTCTCGAAGAGGATCTGGACCCAGATGAAATCCAGATCCTCCATTCCACCCAGTGTGTTTGTACTCGGTGGGAAACACGAGATACGGCAGCTCTACCTGAAACTCTTGCTCCAGTTTCTTCTCTATCCACTCCGTCACATGAACCAAAGTCACTTCTCTCTCTCCAAGCTTTGGCCGAGCTTTCAGCTCCACGTACGGTGGCTTCCGGAAACCATACCTTATTGAAGAAGACAGTAACCACATTTGAGAACATTTGGCAAGCATTGGCACCACAGACCGTTCACTGGCACCACTGACCGCTCACTGGCACCCTGGACCTCTCACTGGCACCACTGACCACTCACTGGCACCACTGACCACTCACTGGCACCACTGACCACTCACTGGCACCACAGACCGCTCACTGGCACCACTGACCTCCCACTGGCACCACTGACCACTCACTGGCACCACTGACCGCTCACTGGCACCACTGACCTCCCACTGGCACCACTGACCGCTCACTGGCACCACAGACCACTCACTGGCACAGGGTTCATCACTCAAATGCTCTCCAGTTCTGAACCGCCCCACACCTACTCAGCACAGCAAGTGTGAGCTCTGAACACCGATGTTTGCTGGACATTTCGGGGCTCTGATGGAGTCTGACCAGTACTGACAATAAAGGAGAGCCTGGAGACATTGCAGAAGGCCAGGAACTGGGCATTGCCTTTTGGGTTTTGATTACCCTAAAATGGCAATAACTTTTTTCTTTTTTTCAAGACAGAGTTTCTCTGTGTAACAGTCCTACCTGTCCTGGAACTCACTTTGTAGACCAGGCTGGCTTTTAACTCACAGAGATCTGTCTGCCTCTGCCTCCCAAGTGCTGGGATTAAAGGCATGTGCCACCACTGCTTGGCTCTTTCTTTGTATTTTTAATAGAAGTAAGATATGCTCATTACAAAAACCAACGTGTGTGTGTGTGTGTGTGTGTGTGTGTGTGTGTGTGTGTGTGTGTATACATATATTTTTTTTTCAAAACTTTTGACAAATACAGTCTTCTTCTGAATGCCTTCCCTGAGAGATGGCACTCTCCTAAGTATACGCAGCAGAGAATGTCAACAGACTGCTTTTTCTCAGAGTCTTGTTATGAAGGCCAGGCTGGCTCAGAACTCTCAGAATCCTCCTTTGTCTCCTGAGTGCTACAGTCACAGGTGTGTGCTACCTCAAGCTGTCGTGTCGTGCTTTTTATGCCTTCCCACCAGAGCAGACTGGTGCTCAGATATATTGGCAAAGTGTCCAGACAATCGGAGTGTGGTGGCACACACTTGTAATCCCAGCACTTAGGAGGCTGAGGCAGGAAGATCCCAGTTTGAAGATCAAAGACCCTGACTAAAAACAGGGGACAGAGAAGTCTACTCCCTGATGTGATTCTATTCTGTGAGTCTGTCCTGAGGAAAAATGGCAGTTATCTCTGTCCAGCTTCCCTCACACCAGAGTATGTGCCTCCTCCACCTCAGGAAGTTCCATGGACATGGACATGAGCCACAACTATCTCGTCAGCTGTGAAGGCCGACGAAGATGATCATTTTAAGGAAGATAATGATGAAAGTGAGCATCAGTCACCATGACAACCATCCATTCAGGGCTTGGCGAAGCACACAGAGGCAATGGATTAGGAAGGCAGTCCACTCAAAGCGACACAGGCAACCGTGAAAAGGTCTGTGCGACCAAGTTCCCCCTGGGGGCTTTGAAATGACACCAGCTGTGGTCTCCAGGCTGAACTGTGGTTCAGGGCCTGTGTACATCAGTGGACAGCACCAAGTAGCTGTAGAGGGAGACGCAGAGTCAGAAGACGAGGAGGAGGATGTCAAACTCTTACGAATGTATACAAAGTGATCTGCCCCTGGAAGTGGGAACAAGGGTCCACAGGAAAAGTGAGACTTGACGAAGATGACGACAGTGATGGAGAGGAGGAGGAGGAAGAGGAGGCAACTGAAGAAAAATCTCCAGGGAAGAATCTGAATGAGATCCTCCAGCCAAAAAACACAAAAATCAAACCAGAATGGAAAAAAGACTTAAAACCATCAACACCAAGATCAAGAGGCTAAGAATCCTTCAAAAAACAGGGGGAAAATTCCTAAAACACCAAAGGGACCTAGTTCTGTAGAAGACACGAAAGTAAATTCGGTAAGTATAGAAAAAGGTGGATCTCTCCCCAAAGTGGAAGGCAAGTTCACCGAGCCTGTGAAGAATGGCTTCCAGATGACTGACCAGGAGCCTCCTTGAGACCCCTGGCAGAAGAGAAAGTCTCTTTAAGAAAACAGTTTAAGGGGCTGAAGAGATGGCTCAGCAGTTAAGGGCAGTGGCTGATCTTCTAGAGGACCCGGGTTCAATTCTTAGCACCCACAAGCAGCTCACAACTGTCTATGACTCCAGTTCCAGGGGACCTGGAACCCTCACACAGACATTATGTAGGCAAAGCACTAATGCACATGAAATAAAAATAAATAACTTATTTTTAAAAATGGCTTATGGTGGGCTGTTGTGGCCCATGCCTTTAATCCCAGCACTCAGGAGGCAGAAACAGGCGGACCTCTGTCAGTTTGAGACCAGCCTGGTCTACAGAGTGAGTTCCAGGACAGCCAGGGCTACACAGTGAAACCCTGCCTGGAAAAAAAAATAAAAAATAAAAAATAAAATAAATAAATAAATAAAAATTTAAAATAAAAAATAAATAAATAAAAGGATTTAAACAGCTTGAAATCTCCCACCTTACTCACTTATGTCGCAGTTGATATCTGGCTGTCCTTCTATAAGGAGATTTCCCTATTATGCCTGACAAATGCTGTCCAGGTTCCATTGCCAAGAATGTGTTATCTAAAAATTCCTGTTCAGTTTTCAAGGATGGAACTCTATTCTTTATTTGGTTGTAACTATCAATGGAATGTTATGATCGGACATAGTCGTAGTGGTGGCCAAACATGGGAATGCTGGGGAGACAAAAATATATGTGTGAGCTGGGCGGTGGTGGCACACACCTTTGATCCCAGCACCTGGGAAGCAGAAGCAAGAGGATCTCTAAGTTGAGACCAGCCTAATCTACAGAAAGAGTTCCAGGACAGCCAAGGCTACACAGAGAAAACCTGTCTCAAAAAACAAAACAAAACATAACAAAAAAAGAAAAAAGAAAAAGAAAAAAATATACACGTGAAATAAACTCAGTATTTTAATAAAGTTAAAAAAAAGTCTAGACAAGACATTGTTATCAAACTATCTAAAACTTTAATGTCATTGACAATGTTATAGAAACACTGTAAAAACATCAAATTGCTAGAATGTTCCTATTGTATCTGTTGTGGCTATGTTTTTGTGGTGTGAAGGATGGAACCGAGGGCCCTGAACATGCCAAGCAAGTTTTCTAACGCGGATGACCCGCTCTACTAAAATTCAGCAGTTAAATTTGTAATAGCCAGAACCTGGAAACAACCTAGATGCCCGTCAACTGAAGAATGGATTAAGAAAATGTGGTACATATACACAATGGAGTACTACTCAGCAGAGAAAAACAATGACAGCATGAAATTTGCAGGCAAATGGATGGAACTAGAAAATATCATCCTGAGTGAGGAAACCCAAACCCAGAAGGACAAACATGGTGTGTACTCACTTATAAGTGGATACTAAATATAAAGCAAAGAACAATCAGACTGCAACCCACAGAACCAGGGAGGCTACCTAGCAGGGGGGACCCTAGGATGACTGTGGCTTATAATAAGTTTTGGTCTTAATTACTGGGCAAACCTTAATCAAACATTTCACTATTAGGATAAGAATTTATATTGTATCAAGCTGATAATAGAAAAATAAATAAATTAAAAAAAACCTCAGCAGTTAAGAAATGTATCAACTCTATTTCAGAATAAGCTTTTCAATGTTTGGAAGACTGTTCAGTAAGATATTTAGCAGTGTCTATTTCTGGAGTATATGGGTGTGGGCTTCTTTTTTTCTTATTTAAAAAAGTTAACTGTGTGTGTGTGTGTGTGTGTGTGTGTGTGTGTGTGTGTGTGTGTGTGTACACAAAGCTATGGGAATGCTGCTGTGACACCTGCGTGTGGAACTCAGGGGACAACCTGCAGGAGTCAGTTCTCTCCTTCCACCTTGTGGGTCCCAGGGATGGCGTTCACGCTGTCATCTGTTGCTCCTCCTCTTACTGACATTCACTTAAAACAAACAACAACAACAACAACAACAAAATAGTATAGGAACTAGAGATTACTGGCTGCTCTTCCAGAGGACTTAGATTCAATTCCCAGCACCCACATGGTGGCTCACAACTGTCTGTAACTCCAGCTCCAGGGGATCCAACTGCCTCTTCTGGCCTCCTTGAGCAATATACATACATACATACATGCATACATACATACATACATACATACATACATACATTCAGGTACTTGCACGTACACATAAAACAAAACTAACAAGTCTTTAAAAAAAAAAAAAAAGTAATGCTGGGCGGTGGTGGTGTACATCTTTAATCCCAGCACTCAGGAGGCAGAGGCAGACAAATCATTGTGAGTTCCAGGCCAGCCTGGTCTACACAGAGAGAGTTCCAGGACAGGCACCAAAACAACACAGAGAAACCCTGTCTAGTAAATCAAACCAAACCAAACCAAACCAAACAACAAAAAACATCTACAAAGTCATTTTTGATTTTGCTGGGAAACACTAGCATTGGTATTGCTAACATTCCCACTCAGCCTGCTGCACACCAAGAGGATGTGTAGCACACTGGTCCATGCTATGCAGAGCTGTATTTTCATCACGAGTGCCATTTACAATGTGGTAAGAGCTCTGAGCTCTTATTCCCTCACCATGTACACTATGACTATTTTATAGGACGCAGAATAACAATTTTAAATGGAGATTCACAAACAGAGATGCTGGGCCTGTGAATAATTTATTCATCAATTTTAAACTGTGGCTTAGGCACTGTAAACCCCACCCCCAAGCCAAATGCTGAAATCCTGGGGAGTGTGCCAGCCATGGTCTGTATCTTCAGCATTCCCCAGGTGATAGGACCACTCAGAACCTCCTCCTCAGACAGCCTCCTGCCACCAATGCCCAGTGCACACACCAGCCTCCCAACCCAACACCAAGGCCTCACTCACTCACTCACTCACTCACTCACTCACTCACTCACTCACTCAGGGAGTGGCTCCTCACTGCCCGGACTAAATGTCAAGGAAGAGGCTGTGAGAGGACTAAACCAGTGGTGTGGGTCCAACCCAGGCTAAGCAGAGACGAGGGCTGGCTACAAAGTGCAGGGATTATTATCAGTGGATGAGTCAAGCTTTAGAGAAAGGAGGACCAAGGGCAGAACCTCGAATTCACCCTAACTTTCCCTGACATATGAAGACCATCCGTAAATGTACATAAGACAGTCATGGAAGAAAATACAGCCATTAATGACTGACACTTGAGTCTAATGAAAACAGTGTGAAGTGCTCTTGTCCCGAGGTTAAGTAGGTTGGGACTTTTAGCGTCACATGGTGATGGAGGGCATCACTTGGGGCATCTGCATACCATATGCGGTCGGTCGGGGGTGGTGGAATGTTGACCGCCAAGGTCCCTCGACATTCTTGCACTTCCACGGTTAGCAGCAGGGGTGTATTAGAGACTTCTTCAATCTTCTTTTTGATGAACTCTGTCTCCGTTGCTTTTTGGAAATATTTTGACTTGGTAATTTTATCAACAAACCTCATAATTTTACTTGTTCGATGACCTCCAACATACCTTCAAACAAAGAATGCAAAGGTGTGTTAGCGTGTGTGTGTGTGTGTGTGTGTGTGTGTGTGTGTGTGTGTGTCTGAGAACAGCCTGTGGAGGGGAGTTTCGAGGGATCAATTTCAGGCTGTCAGCCTCGGTGGCAAGCGTCTTCACCTGCGGAGCGTGGATTAACACAAGCCTGTGACTGCACTCGCCCTCCCATAGCTGATCCATTGCAACACTATGCGCACTTTGGACAGGTCACTGTTTGAGGGGGACTGTCCTGTCTGTGTACACAGGACGTTTAGCCGCCTCTTTGGCCTCTGAGGATTAGATGGCAAGAACATTCTCCATCAACATAATCAAACACTAGCTCCTGTGGGGGCTAAACTACCCTTGGTTGAGAATTACTACTTTAGAGAAGGAATAAAGGTTAAATGGAACGGAACATTCTGGCTGCACAGTGGACATCCGGACAGTCACCTCCTCAGAGAAGGAGGCTCCTTCATACCACTCGGAGACTCAGCATGAGTCCTTGTCCTGCTGGGAACCTCCCAGTCTCTAGACAGCCCACAGAAAGCCATCCTGCACGGACAGACAACACAGCAACACAGCAGGGACTCGGACCATCGTTAGGTGGTGTCACACCCATTTTGAGGGCCAGGCAGCTAATCAAAGGGCTTAGAATTTTCACCTCTTCCTTTTAAGGTTTAGAACTTAAGGGGAAAGCTGCATCGAGTGGATAGGCAGGCAAGCCAAGAAAAGCAGCATTTGCCTAGGGTCCCTGAGTGGTTTCAGACATCGTGGACAGTGTGTGTAGAGGGCTACGTGTGTGTTTGGGGGGGAGGGGAGCTGCTGAGCCCGGGACCTTGCACATGCTGGATGAGCAGCACCCCACAACCACGTTTCAGCTCTAGCCCTACACAACAGGGCTAGAGGTACCTAGGAGGTACCAACTGTGCTGTGCAGACATCTGCGCTCTCTTCTCACCTTCTGAGCAATCTCACAGAAGGCAGGTTGCTGTTCGCTTACAAGTTTCTGAATCACCTGATGCTGCACTCTAATGTGTCTTCACCTCCTTTTGAATAATTGAAAGGTCCTTACAGAAAGGCACCTGACACACTCTGACCATCACACTGTCCAAGGAACAGGCACAGAGAGCACCCAGATGAAGTTCACGACCCAGAAGAGCAGCTAAGACATCTACAGTCTCAAAATTCACCAAAGAAATAACCCAAGCAGCTCAGCTCCACAGAACCGCAGCCAGAAGCTCAGGCTGTGGTGTGCACGGGTCCCTTCTCTCTGTGGCCACCAGGGGGAGGTGACGCGCAGTTTGCATCCTCTGAAGACCCAGGATGCAATTCTACTGACAAGCCTGTCCTTCAAAGTCTCTGCTATTTACTTACACTGCAAGACAGAGCCCAAGTCTCTCCTCTTAGGATGCTGATGCTGAAACCTTTTCCTCTGTGCAGGAAGAAGCTTGGAGAGGAAGGAGAAGACTGGCTGCCTCCTGGCTGCTTCCCTTAGCCTCTTGAGCCCCCAAAGCCCCATCTACTCACCCTTCAGCCCCGGGCAGCAGCTGTTTGTCTCCAGCACTGGGCTCTGGTGCATCATCTTCCTCAGAGGAGCCGGCACTGGAGGATTCTTCATCACTGTCGGCCAGACAGTATACCCTGGGCCTGCAACTGAACAGGGAGAAAGTCAGCGTCGGTGATTGCATGCATGCACGCACGCACGCATACACTCATGCACGCTCAATAGAGAGTTAAGGAGGAACTTCTGTCACATGTTGTCAATGTCACTAAGAAAGAATCCAAGAGTTCTTGGATTGGCTGCTCACTCAGGAAACTCTGGTATCAAGTCCCCTGACAGGACTGCAGAGGACTTGAGCCCACTGCAGTTGATTTTGAGCATGCACCACAAAGACAGGTGGTGGAGTGTGATGGAGGACATAAAATGCAGGAGCCAAGGGTGGGGGGTGTGAATGGAAAGAATGGATCGTTAGCAGGGGTTACGATGGCAGCTTAATGCTGGGGGCATGACTGTCCCTTACCACGGATGAGGTGCACAGGCAAGTCCCTTTCTCTGGCTTAATTACCCCTCCATTTAGTTTTGACTGGACTCCTTCCTTGTGAGATTAGATATATTACCCCACCCCTGCTCCACAGCCTAGGGGGAGTGGTCACAGACAAAGTGCAAAGCCACAAGTCTCAGGGACTCAAGAAAGCACCTGCCATGAGAACTCGGAGAATTTTCTAGAACAACACAAATTTAAAGGCCAGGCTTTTCAGTCCCCTTAGAGAACACTGTCTTACACTAAACTCTTTAGGGTTCTGGAGGGGTGGGGCTTGAAGGATCACCAGCAGAGCTGTGGGATCAAGGTTCCCTCCTGAGGTGCTTTCTGACCTACCAAAGGTGGCTACTTCCTCATGCCATTTCTAGCTGGGCCCATCTCTAGAGCTCGGGGTCTTAGCCGGGCATGAAATGAACGAAGGAGAGAACAGTCTCTGAGCACTATTGAGCCACCAATGCCACTAAAGACAGCCTATCTTGCTGACCAGGGCAAACCACTCAGGCAGGAAAGGCAGGCAGCGCAGCTTAGATCAGCCTCCCTGCTGCTGCTGTCCTCCTGGACACCTCCTTGGGCCACTAGGAAGTCCACCGGGGTAACTGTCTCCTGATTAATGGGGGTCAAGGGCAGAGCACACAGCTGCATGCATGAGACGGCCAGGCTGAGCCTCTCACCCTGAAACGGGAGCTGGCTGTAAGAAGATCCCACCAGAGTCCTCCCAGGCAGGGCCCTCGGATCCTGCTCACCCTGGCTCTGAAATGGAGCCAGAGCTGTGCCGACACACTGGACTTCCATATTGAAGGGGACTACCCTGGAGCACCTGCTCCCCATTTCCTGTTACAGGCCGGGCTAGTCCAGAAGTACGTCTATGCCCTCACTGCTCACAGAGCTGTTTTGGAGGTCCTGTGCGAAGACCATCCTCAAAGAGCATGCTCTTGGGTTTCAAATTGACGTAGCAAATGCGATTCTTAAAAAACTGAACTGGGTTTTTAGGTAAGAAGAGTCAGAAATGTAAATTGCCAGAAATTCCACAACTGTCCTATTTCTCTGTCAGTTACACAGCGGTGCTCTGTGGCTCCCGAGCCTCGTGCTGTGAGGTATGGAAGCTGGCCCAACAGCACAGGGCAGGTCCTCATCCACACACAGCACAAAGGGCCGCCTGCAGCATCTGGGATCATAGTGCGATTGCCGAGCCACGGTCCCTCATGTCCCCACCAGCGTGTACCACCTGGCACCTCCACCCCCTGGGTAGGAGATGCCGAAGGGTGAGCGCTGCATTGAGCTCTTGGGTTCCAGGACAAACCCTCTGCAGGACAGAGAGCAAGCTGCATTCTGTGTTTTCATGTGAGTAGTTCAGATAATGCGGCATGGGCTGTAGTGTATCAGATGCTGTGGATTCTGATTTTGACCAAGTGCCCCCACCCCCCAACATCCAAAGTGGGAGCTGTATCATGTGGAATCCAGAACCAATTAAGCCTGTGACTGTTTGGCTCATAGGCAGCTTTATATCTAAATGTGCATTTTATGCTTTCAACCTTACGATGTTATCAAGAATTTTAGAGAGACACGCTACACATCCTCATAAAAGATGTGTAAGATGTGAGACGCTACTGGCTTTAAACACACCTCAGAATTCCGGACGAGCATTCTACCCTCTCAGAGAGCCACTGAACAAGCTCATTCCGGTCACAATGTCAAAACCATCTGAGATACGTGCTTGCAGTCAGGCAAAAGAGAAAGTGCATTATTTTATCATGGATTCTGTCTTGGACCAAATTTTCTTCTTTCTTTTGAGATAGGGTCTCACTTTGTGGAACTGACTATGTAGCCCAGGTTGACTTCAAATTCAGGGTAAGTCTCCTGCCTCAGCCTCTCAAGTGTTGGGATTGCCAGCATGAACCACCACACCTGGCTTAAATGTTTTATTTCTTGTTCTAAAATCACTATCACTTCTGGCAACTTCCAGCAGTCTTAATCTGCTCTCCCCCCTCCCCCCTTCTCTCCCCTCTTCTCCCCTCCCCTCCCCTGAACATATGTCTGTGTACTATGCATGTGCAGTGCCTGCAGAGGCCAGAAGAGGGCAAGAGGGCCTTAGAACTGGAGCTACAGATGGTTGTGAGCCTCTCTGTGGTTGCTGGGACTTGAACTCCGGTCCTTTGGAAGAACAGCAGTGCTCTTACAGCTGAGCCATCTCTCCAGCCCCACTCCAGTAGTTTCTGAAAGCACCTGCAAAGCAGGCTGACTTGTTACCATGTTGGAACAGTTAGAAGAATGACCCCGACTCCAGAGGCAGTTCTACAAGGTGACCCTAAGAAATGCTTCAGTGAAGAGTCAATACGCAGATTCAACAGCTCTGGGAGGGGACCTCACTCCGAAGAATGCACTAATTTTTTCTTATAAGAAACCAGTCCTTCGGGAGGCGGAGGCAGGCGAATCTCTGTGAGTTCGAGGCCAGCCTGGGCTACAAAGCGAGATCCAAGAAAAGCCCCAAAACTACACAGAGAAACCCTGTCTCGAAAAACCAAAAAAAAAAAAAAAAAAAGAAACCAGTCCCATGCATTAGCCATGTGTGTCCATGCATGCAGACACACACATCCAGGGACAAGGCTGAATCATGGTATACTAGGTCCCAGGAACATCAGGGGCCTAGGGGCTGGGAGACAGCAGTGTGGGGCAAGAAGGGGCTGCCAGGTGCAGCTGCACACTGGCCCAAGCTGCACCAAGCACACTGCCAAAACACCCACTGCCCAGTTACAGCAGCATCCGTCATGGAGGACGCACCCTTTCTGACTCGTTTAAAGGCCCTTTTCAGGTTCTTTCCTACAGTTTAGATGCTCAGCACCTACCACCTCCTCCTCCATAGTGCTGGGGATTGAGCCTAGGATTTCACATATGCTAAGCAAGTACTCTTCCACTGAGCTATACTCCCAGCCCGTGAAGACCATTTTGACTGCTCCAAAGTGACTTAACTCCAGTCTGTGACAAGAAGACATGCTGCCTGAAGAAGGAAAAGCTTAAAAGATAAATGCCCACAAATGGACAGTGGACAAGCTTTTCAAAGGGAAACAACTTCAGACCAGAACAACCTAGATTTCAACTTCTCCATCTTGCCCTCTGGGTACCACTATAGCAAACTTCCCGTCAGGCTAACCAGCATCACTGTAGCCCGAGTGGGGACTGAACAAAGCGGGGAGATGCAGTCAAGGCCCTGCCAAGGCTGGGCAGGTAGAGCAAACCAGTGCACGGCGTGAGGCCTGGACAGGTGGAGGTGGCTAAAGGGAAGAGCTGGAGGAAGAGGCTGCTGTGGGCCGCTGCACAGTCCACCGACAGTCCACCCGAGGCTGTTCAGTATTAAGGACGACACCAGCACTTAACAGCAGCCACCACATGGGCTGACTTCTGTCTCTCCTCTCCTCAGCCCCACGGTGGCTGCATATGTTCACAGCTGAGGAACTGAGGAAGCTGCTTCTGGAGCTGGGCTCTGGAATCCTGCATGGGCTTTCAGGGGCTCTTGATGCTTCTAGAAACTCTAGAGCCAAACAATGCCCGTGGAAACATTTTCTGAAATAAAGAAAGGGCCTGGAGTCCTCAGCTTCCCCAAGGGTCCATTTCTCAGGCCCCTTTCCTCACAAAGCGTGGCTTTTAGATTGTATTTTTCTTTGCATTGAAAAGTAAGGAAGTCAATAACATATTAATGTATAATTTAGCATCTTCACAACAAGAAGACAGACATTTCATACAGGATTCTTCTATGAAAAGATGGATTCAGAAATACATTCCACCATGAAAGCCACATTCCCAAAGAAAGGGAGTCTTTTCAGTCAGTCTAAAGCAGTATGACAGACATCCTATGATGAGCCAGTTTGCAGATGTAAACCAGTGCCAAGACAGCCAGATGAGTATCAGTCACTGTGGAGTGTCTGAATGGCAAGACTCTAACCAAAAGCAATCTGCTGCCCACCTGACGTACATGACTCACCTTCCCAACAGAGCCCCGAAGTCCTATGTGGGGTACAGCTGTTTCCAGGAAGATCCCTTACTCAAATGCTTATGATCAAAGATTGCTCTGACCCAGTCCCATTTATTAGATACAATTAAAAACTAAAAATAGTGCTGGAGATCAAACCCGGGGCCTGGCACATGCTAGGCAACTGTGCTCCCACTGAGTCGCATTCCTAGCCCGGGAGACCTCACTTCCAGACTGCTTCTGCCCACGGTGTTTTTACAACTCTGTCACAAGGCCAGACTGGCAGTGCTCGGGGTCAGAGCGGCTGGGACAGCAGGACAAGAAGCTGGTCTGACTACAGGCTAGATCAGGGAGACTCTGTCAGGACAGCCATGGCCCCTGCTCTGCTCTCGGCCTTCCCGAGCCCTTGGACTGTGCCTTCGTGTCCGGGAACATGATGAAAAGACATTTTCTTGTGGCTTCAGATGGGACCAAATCAGGCTCAGCACTCACAGGGTATGGAATGCCACACGGGGAGTTGATGAATACCACTCACCAGAAAATACAAATCCACAGATTGCCGAATCCAAATACATTTTAACAAATAGCAGAAAACGAAAGGAAAATAGCAGGTTAGATTGCAGTCCAGCAGGTGCAGGAACATTTCAACACAAAGCCTGGGTAAGTCAAGATAATCTAAGCGAAAGAATGTTCCTGAAGACACAACTCAACTTCCTTGGTCTACCAGTACTATCGACCTAAAAAGGGACGATCAGCTGTAACTAGGCAAAAACATCCAAGAGCCAGGGCCTTGTATACATACAGTCTGCAGAGTAGTTAGTTCCCTGTGGCAGCCCTGGCCCTGTGGTTCAGTCCCTGCAGAGGGATTAGGGGCTGCAGATGGGAGACCACATCTTTTAACTAATACTATCATTTAGATGTGGAGCCAGAACAGTGACCTTTAAGGTGTTTGAGAATCTGGCATTATAGGGGAACAAAAATCAGGCTCCATTAATTACCTCACAATTCTGGAATTTCTAAATCAGATTAACTCTGGGTAACAGATGTACTATCTACAAAGAGAAGAATTTACTAAGCAAATCAATATTGTATTATTTCGGGAAAATGCTTCTCAGAACACTCACAGAGTATCCTCTTAGCTGCCCAAATCAACCATCTCGTTATAAATAATTCTGACCTGGTGATTAAAGTGGGAGATCCCCAGGGGGCCTTAATCGGCTCGCATAGTGCTGCCTGTGGCTGGAAGCCGAAGCAGCTTTCAGAGTAAGGATTGGGTTCACAGAACAGTTTACGCCTAGAGGCGTCTGTCCTGCTTGTCTGCACCAGCGATCCTTTCTGGGTAATTGAGACAGTGTCACCCCGGCAGTGCTGACACCAACAGGCGCTGGGTGTAAAGCTCGCTCTGATCATCAGAAGTGCTGACCCTGAGCCTGCTGTCCATGCAGGGGCTCCCACACCCCACCTGCTTCTCACGGGCTGCAGGGAGAGGCTGGTCCCCCAAGGTTGGTTAGTAAATTCATATATGGCCCCTTACCCTTCTTTGCCAATTTCTCCAACCTTCAGGGCTTCAACAAGAGGCTCTTTACCTAGTTTGGTCAAGTTCATTTTGGTCTCGAGAGTCATCAGAAAGGACCCGTTGTAAGACATTTCCAAATCGATCCAGAGTCCTAGAGAAACAGAAAAAAAAAAGGGGGGGGGGTTCGTTTGGTTTGGTTGCCTCCCAACAAATATGAGTCTAAACTAGAGTATCAAAACTTATATTTGGGGGGCTGGAGAGATGGCTTGGCAGTTAAGAGCACTGGCTGCTCTTCCAGAGGACCTGAGTTCAATTCCCAGCACCCACATGGTGGTTCACAACCATCTATAATGTGATTTGATGCCCTCTTCTGTCATGCAGGCACACATATAGGTAGAGCACTCATATACACAAGATACATAAATTTTTTAAAAAAAAAACTTGCATTTTCATGACTAGAAAGGCAGTTCAATGGTGAAGAGCACTTACTGCTCTTGCAGAGGAACCAAGTTCAGTTCCCAGCACCCAAATGATGATCATTATGCAACTGCATTTCAGGAGATCTGACACCTCCTTCTGACGTCTGAGGGCACCAGGCATGCATGTGGTACATATACATACATGTAGGCAAAACTCATACCCCTAAATCGACACTCATAAGTTGTCATTAAACTAAAGTCTACATGTGACTTGGACTGCCCGCAGATGTGTGAAGCGGGTGAGGGTGCTCTGCCCTCACTATATACGAGACTGTGGCGGTTTGCATGCTGGGCAGTGGCAGGCATGGCAGCCCCCTCTGGGGGGTCACAGTGAATTCAGTGTCCATGTAGCACTGCAAGGACCCCTCCCCCACCCCAGCTTCTCCTCCTCACAGAAGAACCAGACACCCCGAAGGAAATGGCTTGATCACAGTATTGCCAGGATGGGTGGCTGAGGTGCAGCTGTTTGCGTTGTGAGGATGCTTTACTGTGAGCTGAATGACGCCATGAGGCAGCTTCCGTGATTTGGTCATCAATGGGCTGGGGCTTTGCAGTAATGTAGCTGTTTGGGGGTCACTCACACTCCTGTAAGCTCCCTCACCTGTGCCCAATAAGCTGAGATGGCTCAGTAGGTAAAGGTCCCCTGCCACCAAGCATATGACTTGAGGTGGGTTACATGGCATGGTAAAGGGAGAGAATTGACTTCTACAAATTGTCCTCCAAACTCATGCACACGGCCCGCGCCATCCTACCCTCCTCTCTGCAAACAATAACTAATAAATGTTTGAAAAACTAGTTTAAAACAGTAAAACAAACAAACAAACAAAAAAAGCACAATAAACTTGGGTCTCTCTCTCTCTCTCTCTCTCTCTCTCTCTCTCACACACACACACACACACACACACACACACACACACACCAACAAAATGTTAGGTATTCTTTTGTAAGATTTATTAGTGTAAGTGTTTTGCATACATGTATGTATGTGTACCATGTGCATGCCTGGTATCAGAAGAGGTCAGAAGAAGACATTCAGAGCCCCTGGAACTGGCATTATGGATGGTTGTGAGCCACTATGTAAGTGCTGGGAACTGAACCCAGGTCCTCTGCAAGAGCAACAAGTGCTCCTGACCACCGAGTCAGCCTCCAGGCCCCAAATTTTTATATTTTCAGTACCCTTTTGTTTCAGGAAATGACAGAGCAATAGAAACAAAAGGATTCCAGGAGTAGCTAGGTAAGGGTGGGGAACTACCTGGCATGAGTTAAAGAACTTATCGTCAGAAGGATATTATTGCCAATGAGCTCCTATTCAATTTCACCAGGATGGCCACTGGACCAGTGTCTACAGTATACACACATTGTCACCACCCTCTGTCACCACAGGAGGGGATGGCCTGGCAGGTAAAGCTACATGAGATGTTTTTCACTCTCAGAGCTCCATAAGACCTCATGGATTTTTAATTAAAATGTGATCCTTCAAGTGGCTATTTAAATGTTAATAAACTTTTATAGATCCTCCTAAGACAACTGACAATATGCAAACAGAATCAAGAAATTAATCTCAAACCATTCTTCATACATAGCGGCACTGTCGGTCGATTGGAGTAGACAGCCCTCCCCCATGAGGCCAGCCCCCTAGGTAAAAGCATTGTCCAATCTTCCGAAGTACTAATGGTGCAATTCTTCACTAACGGTGGGATAATTCCCACTTAGTTTTCAACAAATGCTTCCTGTTACTGAACACGATTATTTTCCTCGGATGACATGATTTAATTAAGTGGCACACAGGTCAGGTGTGATTATCTTCTTTGTGGGGGAAAAACTGCTTCTTTCTAGCTTACATTAAGCAGTTAAAAACTCTTCAGTTAGCTTACTCTTAAAAATACTGTAACTGTGGGAACTAAATGTTCATATCTACTCAGTAAAGATGTTCAGTTCTTAATCATTTCCAGGAGGAGGGATTAGTGCAAAGAGCTACATATGAATTTTAACTCAATATAAAAAGAAAGACAGTAATTTCGTTTGGAAACCCTAACCAGGTTTCCAAATAATATTAATGACATGCATTGCCTTTGAAGGCTGTCATATTATAGGCACCAAAACTTTACTTCTTCTAAAATGAGGTTTTGTTGTCCTCCACCCCCCAAATTCATTGGGGGTGGGGGGTGGGAGTTGTGAAGGAGTGGGCATCTGGATCCCCTAGAGCTGAGTTATAAGTGAGTGGCTGTGAGCCACCCAACATGGGTAATGGAATTCAAACTCAAGTCGTCTGGAAGAGACCCATGTATAAGGGAATCAGATTTCCTGGGACTGCAGTGATGGGCATCTGTGAGCCACCCAATGTGGGTACTGGGAACTGAAGTGCTCTTAACCAAAAGTCATTTCTCTAGTCCCTTGCTATCTTGTTTTTATTTTGTTTTGTTTTTTTAAACCAAAACAAACAAAAAACCAAACCAAGTACTGTGGGCACAGGCTGGTTCAGACATCAGCCACCATGGGATCTGCCTCTCACCCACCAGGAAGGCCAAGGGAAAAAAGCTGAGAGGCCAATCACATGGACTAGGGCTCGAGTTTCACTGCAAGTCTCTTGACCTTTTACAGCACTCTCACCTCCACCAAGGGGCTGCACCATCTTTTTAGAGAGGACTGTGTGCAGCCAGCAGCCAGCACACCCTGGGCATCTTCTGTTCTGGCTGCAGCTGCTACAGGGACACCGGCTGTTTACACAGTAAAGTGCTGGCTTACGAGCATGAGGGAGGACCTGGCTGTTTCCCAAGCGCTCAGGTAAAGCCAGATAACGGCCTGTAATGGCAGTGCTGGGAGGTGGGCCCTTCCCTGAAGCCCATCTAGTCAAATCGGTGAGCTCCAGATTCAACGAGACCCAGTCTTGAAACAATAAGATGGAGGGGAAGTATTTGAGGAAGATACATGACATCAGCCTCCGGACTCCACATCCATGTTATGCACACACATGCACACATGCGCAGAATAAAGATGGCCACCGGGTATGGTGACATACATCTGTAATCCTAGCACTAGGGAGGCAGAGGCAGAAGAAACATCCTTGGCTACACAGTGAGTTTAGGGCAGCCTGAGCTACATGAAACCCTGTCTCAAAAAATCAGGAAAAAGAAGGAGGAGGAAGAGAAGGAGGAGGAGAAGGGGAAGAGGAGGTGGAGGAGGAAGAGGAGGAGGGAGGAGGAGGAGAAGGAGAAGAGGTGGGGGAGGAGGAGAAAAGGAGGGGGAAGAAGAGGAGGGGGAGGAGGAAGAAGAAGAGGAGGGGGAGGAGGAAGGAGGGGAGGAGGAAGGAGAAGAGGAGGGGGAAGAAGAAGAGGAGGGAGGAAGGAGGGAGGAGAAGAAGAGGAGGGGGAGGAGGAAGAAGGGGAGGAGGGAGGAGGAGAAGAGGGGGAGGAACAAGAGGAGGAGGAGGGGAAGAGGAGATGAAAGAGAAGAGGAGATGGAGGAGGAGAAAGATGGCCTCAATCAGTTGGTAGAGTTCAACCCAGACCACAATGTACAGTGGTAACAAATACCCATGACTGCATGTCCCCAGAGGCAAGGGGACAGCAACCAGAATGGAGGGCTGTGGGTTTGTTTGCTGTCACCCATTTCTCCTTAGTAAACCCCATGGCCTTGGTAACTGCCCCACCATGGCCACAGAGAGCATGTAGGCTCACACAGGAGCCCGGTCTTTTTACTTGACTCTGGGGGTCTTGACTCTGGGGCTGTGTGAACAGGGCTCCTGCTGCTTGGAAAGGGTTCTAGCTTCGTTTCTATTGCTGTCCCAACACCCTGACATAAAGCAAGGAAGAGAAGGTTTATTTGGCTTGTAATTCCAGGCTGCAGTCCATCACTGCAGGGAAGCCAGGGTGGGAACTGAGAGCACCACACCCACAGTTGGGGCAGAGAGACAGCATGCGTGTGTATCCTTGCTTGCTCAGTTATTGCTGAGCTAGCTTTCTCAATTCTTTTTTTTTTTTTTTAAGATTTATTTATTTATGTATCTAATGTATATGAATGATCTACTTGCATGTATGTTTGCATGACAGAATATGGCACCAGATCTCATTACAGATGGTTGTGAGCCACCATGTGGGTGCTGGGAATTGAACTCAGGACCTCTGGAAGAGCAGCCAGTGCTCTTAATCGCTGAGCCATCTCTCCAGCTCCACTTTCTCGATTCTTACACAGTCCAGGGAAAACAGTGCCACCCAAGTTCAGGGTGGGTTTTCCTACTTCAATCAACAATCAAGGGACCCCCAACAGATGTGCCACAGGCAAACCTGATAGAGACAATTCCTCATTAAGACTCTCCCTAGTTGATAATTACAACAGCCCACAAGGTATCAGGGTTCTAAGACCCTTGCTCATGGAGCTGTCCTCAAGCCCCCGTCCGATGTCCCCTGTCCTTTAACCATGGTGGCCTGGTTCTCCCTCCGAAAGTGAACACCTGGATCTAGGGAACAAAACTTGAAAAGGAGCATTTGATCATGGATTGAATGCTGTGAAACAATCTTTGTACACTATAAATATGTACTGTTCTCATTGTTAATAAAAAAAGTTGGCTGATGGCTAGGATTTTCGGGGCAGAGAGAATGCTGGGAAGAAGGAGGGTGGAGTCAGAGAAGCCAACGAGATGGAAATAAAGCAGGACATGCAGGAGCCTCGGGCAGCACACAGATTAATAGATGGGTTAATTTAAGTTGTAAGAGTTAGTAATGAGCCTGAGCTACCAACCCAGCATTTATAATTAATAATAAGTCTCTGAGTGGTTATTTGGGAAGTGGCTGGTGGAACAGAGCTGATCACAGTCCTGACAAAAAACTCCACCTACAGTTGGATGTTGGGATTACTCGGCTCCAGACCCCCCCCCCCCCAGTGACTGTTTTGTTCCTGTCAAGCAGACCGGTGCCATATGCTCTCAGATCCCAGGGAAGCTGCAATTCCTTGAACCTGGATGCGCCTTGGGTAACATCTCTGTAGCTCTTCCTACCTTACAACTGTTCTCACATAATGCCCTGTCTTGTCAAAGCTGACAATCTAAATCTCAATCTCACTCTCTCCTTAAGAAAACTTTTTCAGAAGGAGCTAGAGAGATGGCTCAGTGGTTAAGAGCACTGGCTGTTCTTCTAGAGGACCCAGGTTCAATTACCAACACCCACATGGTGGCTCACAACTGCCTGTAACTCCAGTTCCAAGAGGATCTGATGCCCTTTTCTGGCCTCTGTGGGTATTGCATGCCCATTGTGTTTATACATGTAGTCAAAATATCCATAAACATAAATTAAAATATGTGTATGAGAGTTTGATTGCATGTATGTTTGTGCACCATATGTGTGCATGTCATCTGTGGCACAGAAGAGGGTATTGGATCCTGGACAACTTGAGTTACAGACAGTTGTGAGCCATCATGTGGATGCTGGGAATTGACCCTGGTCCTCTGAAAAAGTAGCATGCGTTTTAACCACTAAGCCACCACTCCAGTTCCTTTCTCTCTGTTTTTGAGAAAGAGTCTCACTCCGTAGCACAGCCTGGACTGGGACTCACTATGTACCCCAAATTATCTTTGAACTCAGGGTGATCCTCCTGTCTCCTGGCAGTCTCCAAGTGCTGAGACCACAAGCCTGGGCCACTGCACCCGGCTGCAAACTGCTTTTTCTTCCCACTGCCATCTAGACCTCCATCCTAAGCCTCCCAGAAGCAGTGTCAAGGGCAACAACAGCAGTAGTAAAAAAACAACAACAAAAACAATGGGTGCTGTTTAAATGGCCTGTGTGTGTCCTCAAGGCAGGCAGGTGCTATCAGAGCCTAGTGTGGGAGGTGAGGAAGCAAAGAGGTCGGCGAACTTGCCTGAGGCTCTGGGTTTATGAGCTCAGCTCACTCACTCTAGGGATGGCATTGAAAACTACCTTCTGCGTGCTGAGTGGCAGACTGGCATGGTGTAGTATGTCAGCAATCCCAGAGGCAGACAGGAGGATTGTTGCATGTTTGAGGCCAGCCTGGCCTACATAACAAGTTCTAGACCAGCCGGGGCCACAAAGAGAAATCCTATCTTAAAATTTTAAAAGTGTATGGCTAAGGCAGGATAATTCAAGCAGCCTGAGTAGCTTGTGTGAACCAGAAGAGATTTTCTTTCTTTCTTTTCTTAATGTTTTCTTTAGTTATTTTTATTATTTTATGTGCATGGGTATTTTGCCTGCATGCATGTCTGCGTACCCATGTGCATTCAGGGCCCACTGAGTTCAGAAGAGGACATTGGGTCCCCTGGAACTGGAGTCAGAGACTGGGTCCTCTGGAAGAGCAGCAAGTGCTCTTATGAGCCCTCTTTCCAGCCCCCAGGAGGTGCCTCTATTAAAGCTTCAGCTTGTCTGCGTGTTCCAGGTGATCGAGCTCTCATTTTCACCTGTGGTCGGCTTTAGCCAGTCACCCCAGCTTTTAGTTTCCCTAAAAGGAAAGGTTCTCCTGAGAGCAATGGAATCCAAAATTCCAAACTCACACGGTCACCACACTGCATGATCACTTTTGGTCAATAGTGGACCACATACAGGACAGCAGTCCCATGACAGTCTATCACTTAGTAGCATGACTGCCACCTAAGTTTGGGTTAAGCAGACTCTATTGTTTGCACACTGTGGAAAGCAATCAACCACAGTTACATGAACATGCCGCTGTTACTGAAAGGCACCTAAGTGCATCCCTTCTTGTTGATTTCTGCTTTACCATCATACAGGCATCCTTCAAAAGCTTGGAAAAGCCTGATTTGGTCAAATTCAAATAACCCCATAGGCCTTTTGTCTTTTTTGTTCCTTTCTTTGGTAATGTTTTCTCCCTGTTACACAAGCAGGCAGATCTCTACCATTTGCCCTGGAAGGAGTTAAGTAAGCTTTAAATGGATTAAAACCAGCAAGGCTTTGATCTGCAGAGTTGAAATGTCTCACTCCCCAGCTCCAGGAAAAAAACAAAACAAAACAGGAAAGAAGCCCCAGACTTAGGTCTCCAATTAACCTCCCAGGCTGACCAAAGCAGTCCCGACTGCTGTGCAGCTCAAAGCCAGAGGGACACTTGGATGCTGTGGAGCCTGCTGAGTCCTGTGGCCTTCCCTTAGACATGTCTATTAATCCAGGAAAGGGCAGTGTTGAGATTTGAGAAGCTGGGAACATGTGAGAAACCCCAACAGGCGTCTACAGCATTTACTTTTAAAAGCCCAGCTCTCAGAAAGTTGGTACTAGCTGGTAATTTACAGCTTGTTACGAGTCAGTTCCTGAAGAGACAGAGAGTGAAAGGCAGCAGAGGCCGTGGGTCAGAGGAGGACCCTGCACTGGTACAGTGGTGGGGTGAGGATCTCAGTCACACAGCTAACGTAAGTGGTGGCACACCTTTGAATACTGCGTACCACACTGTATCAAAAGGGTAGGGACCGAACAAACAGCCTTGTGCCAGGTCAGAACAAGTACACTACTTTCAGAGTCTAAATTGCTTCTAGCTTTATTCTGTGTACCTGACCAATCCCAGCAGGACCCAGATTGATTGAGGTGCAGACAGAATTGAGGGGTGACAGGTGATCTCTACATGCAGGAACCAGGTGGACTTGTGTGTCTTTCTCCAAGATCAATGTGTGTGCCCTGCCAGCTCAAACTTGCTAGAGGGATGAACAGAGCTGCTGAGTGTAATCATAGAACACCTTCTTCATAGTGTGTAACAGCTATGATTCACTAAATATTCAAAAATAACGACTTCACTAAATGTGATCGACAGCCATAAAGATAGCTGTTCTATATCTCATAAATTCTACCAAGTATTGACTTCAAAACACATGTCGTCCTCCCAGAAAGCTGTATTCACTGCCCACTGCTCTGCTCCTGGGCCACCTTGGGAATAATGTTAAACATGGTTCAAGGGAAAGAGGGTCCTTGACAACGGACACCAAAACCATGAGCTGAGCAGGCACAGTGGCACCGTAATCTCAGCCTAGGAAGGCTGAGGCAGGAGGATAGACAGTTTGTTCAGTTGGGCTACCTAGCAAAACCCTATCTCAGAAAGAAAGGGAGGGGGGAGGGAGGAGGGAGAGAGGGAGGGAGGGAGGACTGGTGGGCTTTCCCTGTGTGCCAACAGCTCTTTCTGCCCAGCAGGCTCAGTCATCTTTTGTGTCTCACTTAATTCTTGCATACTGTATCTTCCCTGTTGACGCCCTTTGAAGCTACCCGTTATAAAACACATAGAAATCTGTGAACATCCTCATTATTCTATTTATATTCCTTCACATTCTGATCAGTTCTTTTTTCTCTCCATCCACAGGAGTAGGCATAAATATTGTATCCGTGGCATGCCTAAAACCTCAAGCCCGAGAGCTGTGCTCCAGCAGACAGACTTGCTCCTGAAATACTGCCTTCGAATATGTGTCCTCATCTTTCAAATCCTCAAGACCCCCAGAGTGTAAGGAAGATAAAGATGCATGACATGAAGGTCAAACATCTTACAGCTTAGCAGGTGTGACAGGTGAGGCTGGGATGTGATAAGTGGAGACAGCAGCTTCTCTCGGAGTCGGAGCCAGGACAGATGGGCACGTGGGGCCCATGAGAAGAGAGGGAAGCTAAAACCTAGCTCACCGCTTCATACCCTGGCACAAAAGCTCGGGCCCCATCAACTGGCTTGAGGTGTCTTGGGCTGGAAAAGACCCTGAAACAGTCTAGTGGACTAGAGATAGGAGAAGGAGCCTAGATCTATCATCAGTCAGTTTCCTACTGTGTCTTGAGAAACACAAGTCACTTGGAGGATGTAGTGGTGCATGTGTTTGTGTCTGTGTGAGGGAGGCTAAGGCAGGAAGGTCATGAGTTCAAAGACACACTGGACTACAGAGTGAGGTTCGAGAGCAGCCTGAGCTACAGCAGGACTAGCTCAACAACAATGAAATAACAATAAAATCAAAGCAAAGCAAAACAAAAATGGCTGGTGAGATGGCCCAGTCGGCAAATGGTCTTGTCATGCAAGATTAAAGATCTAAGTTTAAGCCCCGGAACCCATTTAAAGGTAATGGAGAGAACCAATTCCACATAGTTGTCCTCTGACCTTAGCATGCGCATCCCTTGCCTGCCCTCCAATTTCTCCAACCCCCAACACGTGCACACACACGTGCACACACATACACACACACACACAAATTTTTAAAAACTAAACAAAGAATAAGAACAAAACCCACACTCCACATGAAATAGGATGTTTAGAATTCAGCTTCTTCTAAGCACAAGCCTTGGTGTCAAAACTAAAGCGAGAGAACATTTCAACACCCTCACATCAGCTCCTCTCTAATTAACTAAGAGTTACCTTGGTGATCAACATAAGGCTTGAAGGCCTGAAGGATTTTTGGCACAGCCACACCCATGTCAAGTTCTGTCAGTGTTAGCTCATTCATAAAGTAGGGGAGCTAGAGAAAAGAAACAAACAGTGAATGAGACACATTAGTAAGCTGGTCGCCACACTAAGGTCAGCCAGAGTTCCACACACTGTCTGAGGAGAGAGGAGCTAAGGGGTTGGGTCACATCTTTATGTACAAACCACAGAGGTAGAAAGAAGTGAGCAGACAAATGCTATACTCTCATAAAGCAGGAACCGGGACAGAGGAGTGTGGACTTGGTCAGGGATGGTCATCTAAGGAGGTGAGGAGGCATCCATAAGGAGTTTCGAGTGGCATTTGACCTGCGACCTTCTAGGTGGAGGACACACAGGTGGTAAGGAGGAGGAATGGAGAGTAGGAAATTGCTACATTTCTGACAGGCAAGTTTACCACAAGGTTAAAAATAACTGGGAAAACCAAAACTAAAGCCCAAACCCCAATCCACATCCCTTAACGCTGGGCCGCCTATTTCTGTCTTCCCCCATGCATCCGCGCTCCACCTGCTCCAAAAGTGCAGGTCTGTACGACTGTGCCCATGGAGCCGGTGTCTGCGCTCACTAGCTTCAGGTTGTACATGTCACCAGGGTACACCAGTGGCCGGGGAGGGATGGTACAAGGAGAAATGTTAGCATCTGTCTTCACCCTCCAGTGGAGTCTGGTCTCCCTCAAGACAGGCAGCTCTCCCCTCTCAGCTCTCCTGCCAGAGGACTGGTAAACCGCTCTCCACCTTTGCCCCTTGGGGGGGGGGGGCGGCGCCGCGGCACACAGCTCCCCACCTTTGCTGGCCCAGGCAGCCTGCAGTCTCCTCTTGGGTTTTTGCATCTCCTCTGGCTACTCATCTGAGTGTGCCATCTTGTTCCCACTGGGTCTGACTAATCCCAACTCCTCCATCAGCAGGAATTCATCAAGAGGAAATGACATAAGAGGACCGCTGTCCTTCTCAGAAATCCCTAAGTCACCCAAAGATCACACCACAAACTTAATGAACTTATCTATACTTCCTCTGGCTGAATTTGTATTTCCTTAATCTGCAGGTCATTTGTTATTTTAGTATAAGAGTGCTCGTTCGTTCTCTCTCTCTCTCTCTCTCTCTCTCTCTCTCTCTCTCTCTCTCT